CTTGTTATCAAGAAAATTGTTTAAATCCTCGATCTCAAAAGATAAAGAAAATAATCTAGAATTAGTCTTATATTTTTTAAATCTCACTTGAAAAATGACGATTTAAAAATTCACGCCGGTTCAAGTAGGTAAAATCTTAAGTGCTTGAAAACTAAGTCCTTTATAGACTTTAGCACGCCCGCAATCCAAAATACGTCAAACAATTTCAAGGTGCGTTATCACTACAAAACATATTTTCAAAATATAATTTTAAAAGTTTCTATTAAAAATGTGATGATTTGTATTGAAAATGAGTTTTTATATCAAAATCTAAGTTTTTATGAAAACCACAATAGATTGAGAAATGTGTTAGAAATTATTTTAAAAAACAAAATAAAATTTGAAGATCACTATAATTGGGAAATTGGTTCTTCATTTTGGGATGGATCCTGTTTAAACTCTTCCCTTTTCTCCATGTACAGAAATTATTTTGTTATACTTTAAAAAACTTTTGTGCTTGGAACGAACTTTAATGAGTACTTCCAAGTAGAGAATGTGAAAAGAAACAAAATTATCATCCAAAAGGCACAAGGGCATATGTCATTTACGGTTTAATACCTTCCCAAATATTTTTTTTTATGTTTGACTTTTTTGTAAAACATAAAGAACAACAAATTTATAATTTTTTTTCAAAGAATTTTATTCTTTCTGCTGCGCAAGTTTAATCTTATGAACAATGAATTACATATAGCAGTATATATCACTTTTAAAAAGTTTTTTTAATTAAGATGCCATCGCTTCCAAGGGCTGATGGGGCTGGAGTCCAACGCCGGTGAAACTCACAAATTCGCGTTAAAGAAAATTAAAAATTGGGACTGAGTTCTCCTTAACGGACTTATAATGAGTTTAGTCCGTCAAGAAAACTTATTTGGGGATAAATTCATTTTTAATCTTACTAATAAGTAGTTAAGTCCACTATTTTTTTAAAACTCTAAAATATCTTTCCTTAAAAGCAACTTTAAATTAATTTCCTAATTTGGGAATTATTATTCCTTAATTTACCATCAATGAAGATATATGCCAGTTGAAATTTAAATTCAAAGAATAACTGATATACTTTCTCTCTCTCTCTCTCTATATATATATATATGTGTGTGTGTGTGTGTGTGTGTGTGTATTTTTATTATATTTATCATATTACTGTTTATGTTACTGTTTTTGTGAGCATGTTATTATTTTTGTTGGGTATATTACTGTTCATGCTACTATTTTTGTTGAGTATTTTACTACTATTTTTTTTCAAAATATTAATACTCAATATTTTTTTTTTTGAATATTATTATTTTTTTATGTATCTAAATGGTACTATTTTTTTTTTGTATCTAAATGGTACTATTTTTTGTGTTTGAATGATAATATTTTTTATGTTTAAATGTTACTATTTTTTTAATGTTACTATTTTTTTTTATGTGTGTGTATATATATATACACACACACATACGAGATATAGAAATAAATAGATTTATTCTATATATGGATATAAATAGATACGAGAGAGAGAGAGAATTTTAATGTTAGTCAAATTTTTAAAATTTAAATTTTTTGAAATTAAATATAACTAATGAGCGTATTTTAGACAATAGAGATCAAAATGAACTTAATATTAAACAAGTTTTCTTGATAGACTTATAACTAAATAAATCCACAAAAAAAGAACCAGGCTCCAAATTTTCCTTAAGAAAAAAATATTCGATACTGACTTGGTATCATACCGAGAAGATTTGAAAAAAAATATTAAGGTTTAATAATTTAATTTACGACTCAACGAGACCTAACAATTTTCTAAATTTTTTAGGATTGATTTTATCTAAATACATAGACCTTAATGAGTTGTAACTCAACTTTCATTCGAGATGACGGTGTTGAGGATTATGCTTGTTTCGGACCAAACAAGAGTCAGGAAAGGCGGAGAGTAAAACATGTTATCAAGGCAAGAAACACTTCATTAAAACTTGTAACTCAACTCAAGAAACAAAATACTCAAACTCGAACCCAACCCAAACCAAATGTTCAACCTGAGCTTCTCAGCCCAAATATTTCCCAAGTTCAATTTTCAATACTCGGGTTAGTGAATTCAAGCTTATTTTCAGGTTAGGATGGGTTTTTGATTCTAGTTCATAATTCAAATTACTTCGGATTGTTCGCATGTTGAATGAGACCATTCTAAAATTCTTCATTCATTTTATCTGTAACAAAGTCTAACAGGGTAAGGTTAGACTTGGACAAGCCGTAGACTCAAATATCAAGGATTCGATCCTCACTGGTGTATCCCAAACTTACCTGACACTTAAGTTTTTTGAACAATTGCAAGTCCCTGAAGTTTACTTCGCGGCGTTCCTTATTACCCAATAAAAAAAAAAACCACCAAACAAACTTACAGTAATACTGTTGTTGTTTTCCTTCTGAAATTCAAGCTAAAGTCTAACATAAACAATTAAACATACACCATACATGCAGCCAATTAACTAAAAAACAAACCACCATGATTTTGTAACATTGCCATAATCAACTTAATAATATAAACAGGTATACGTCACAACAGATTAAAGTACAAACAGCACTCCAAACGTCAGTAATTAATTAATACTTCCAACAAAAATTGAAACACTGCAATTCTCCGGCAGAAAATAATTAAAACAACCCAGAAATCCAGCGGAAACATGCAGTACCATTCCAGCAGGCAAAAGCTTCACACAATCCAAGCACTCTTTGCTGTGAAAGCCTCTGATTTGTAGTGAAGACCGAAGAAACTTAAGAGTTTGAGACAGACAATGTTTCTATGTGGGGACTGATGAGACAAGAGAAATGAGAGTGAAAGGGAAAGGGCAACCAGATGCAGGGGAATGATGAGATGAGAGAAATGAAGATGCCAATTATCGGGTTACAAATCAGAAGAAGTCAATCAATGTGAAGGATGGGGCAGCATAACTGCAGTATGTAATGATCAAAGAGCGACCAATTTTTTACACAACTTTTGTTTGCTCTGTGCAATGGATGTAAGAATCAAATAAGGTAGCAATGCAATGGATGCATCCACTCCAGTCTTTGTGGCAAAATTGCACCAATAGCACCACCCAAGATATAACAATCATCCCAAACAACACTATACATTGTTTTGCAGATCATTCCCACAAGCTATCACAAGAACGAACAACAAACACATTCATTTCCTAAGAAAAGATACTAATCCGCAAGTGTAAGAAATAAGTCCTGAAGGCTTGTCAAGGAAATAATAAGTATCATCACCAACCTAAAAGGACCCACAAAGGTTTACGTCACATATTACAATTAAGCAACCACTCACTATTTTTTCTTGTCATAAGCAGTAATATTTTGGGGTTCACATTCTGGACTGAATAAGCGAACCAGTAAAGCTGTGGTTGAGCTTACAGAGACAGCTCCACAAGCTGCCCACCTTAGACTCCGAGGAACTGTGATTCTAGGGCCTGCATTAACAGGGAAGTAATATAAATAAGATCATTCCTCTGATGGTATCAGCATAAAGCTTAAATACAAAGTCATACTCTTCCATCTCACTATCAAACCTGTACTGCCACCAAAATTTGTGGATCCAATTCACAAATGAATTCAAAAAAAATAAAAATGAAAAGTGCAAAATAAACAAAAAGAATCTACATTTTAAAAACTGAATAGAGCAAGAACCAAGTATTATATGATTACAAGAAAATCAATCATCCATCTCAGGGAAACTAGCCAATAAATAATAAATTTTCTAATTTGTATTTTTCTTTCTTCGTCCTATTTTATGTTTCTAGAAACCTATTAGCTATTAGGTGTGTCCCACTTGGTTCTTGGCAAATTGCTTAATTTCTATTCAATGGGTAACTCTCTAATATAAATAAATCTTTCTCAGTCTACTCTAATTCAAATCATTCTATTCCAAATTTCTTGATAATGACCAACACTAAACATGATTAGCAAATCGTCTGCTAAAGTTTCAGAATTTCTTTTAAGCCCAAATCACCTCAACTCTTTCAACACAAAACTACCTGAATTTCTGAGCAGCCATGGAACCACAAGTTCAAATAAAAAATCCTTTCCCCTCTCTTACATTTATTAGTTCATCTTTTAATTTTCTTGCCTTTATACAATTGGGCATCAGCCTCAGGCGAGGTCCAAAGATTCTCCAAACCTTCTTTTGTGCCCAAAAATTAGAACAAAAAAGTCCCGTCTTCTCTATATTTTCCTTTGTTTCCTTTTTTTCATTCAATAAGGAAAATTTACATAAACCAAAAAAATTACGGGGGAAAAAAAAAAGGGAAACAGAAACAACATAAACCAATACATACACTTAGTCATCAAAATTTTCTCCAAAGTCCACTAAAAGTAAAGAAGAGTTAAGCATAATACATATTAATAGGACCATACAACAGATTATTCGCATTGAAGAAAAACAAACAGCAGAGAAACAAAAGAATTATAACAACAAAGAACAGACCATAATGCAAGCGGCAGAGAATCCAAAAACCTAATGCTCCTCCAACAGTAAAAATCCGAGCAGTTTGTGTCACTAACTTGGAACAAGGTTTTGCGTCTGATCTCATCAACTCGCCATCAGAGAATCCAAAGAAACGCCTCAATGCCATGCCTCACTTTCTTTTGTGCTCCAAAGCTGGCAAAAACCACAAGTGATGCTTATTTTGAACCTCCCAAATTCAGTTTTTATAATGCAACAGACCCTTGAAGGGTCTCAGGAAACTGAAAATCAGGCAAACATGATTCTATAACAAGCCAAAGGCAAAAACAAGAATACTCTTATGAAGCACTAAGAGGGAAAAGAACATAAAATGACACTCATCCTTACTAGGTTTGTTATCAATGCAGACAACATTATACTTTTCAGATGCCGCCTGGCCTTCTCTATACAATTATGAGAAAATTTGGATTTAACCTGTTGTATGTGCTCCCTTATTTAAAAAATGGGTAAATTACAATGACATCCCGTTTGATTTCTCAAATTTTCACTGCACCCCTTTTAAAATTGCATTGGCATCCCTTAAGATGCAATAGTTCACATTTTCACGACAAACTGATTTTTATTGCAGTCAGCAAATTTCATAACATTAATTGCCCATTTTGCAATCAAATGAGGATACCCAATTAGAACAGCTACAGAAAATTGGACACATACACACACACACACAAAGTTAATAGGCATTACATACCGAATCAAAATTAAGATAATTCCTATTAATTTAGAAAGAATCCATACACAAGCTCCTCTGCACCGCCACAAAATTCACAGAACCAAACCTATCCAAAGATTGTTTCATCCACAATTATTGAATTCCTATTAGAACTTAGAAGCATAGAAGAAATCATTTTATTTAACAACAAACTTAATTGACGAAATCAACTCACAAGGATGAAGAATTAAAACTCTGAATAATTCAATAGATCTTGGGCTCCAAGTTCATATGTTGCTAAAATTCAACCAAGAAACCCACCATCTCCGAAAGTAGTCATTGTCATCTTCAAATCGTGAATAGAGAAAGTGTGGTGGTGGGTGAAAGGTGGAGATGTCAGCTCAGAGGTGGGTCAGTGGCTGAAGAGGTGGTGGTGGTGGAGGTAGAGGTGGAGGTGGATGTCTCTCAAGTTGGTTGTGGCCTTGGTCTTGATCTCCACTAGCCGGTCACATGTGAGTGTGAGTGTGTGCGTGATAATGAGAGAGAGAGAGATGACAGTGGTAAATGGAGGGGGGTGCAGGAAGATGGATATCACAATAGTTTTAAATCCGGCCCAGATGTCAAACCGGAAAAATGACCGAGTTAATGGGCTACTGGTTCAACCATTAAAATAATTATTAATAATAATAAATAAGCTAAAAAATATAATAATTATGAAAATAACATGCTTAATGTACATTAAATCAAACAAAAACCCCAAAATCATCAAACATGTATAAATCAGTAATTAGTAAACCCAACAATATCTTATTTCATAGCATCAATATCCAATAATCAATATGAATAATTCAATATTTACAATCTAGAATATATAAATGACCACCATTTTGCAGTAAAATCATCAAAAGATAATATGTATAAGGCCTGAAATTTAACACTGATAACACATACTAATATATAACCTAATTGGGAGAATTAAATTTCTCTAATCTGCTCAATTAATCAAACACTAGCACCCATAAGCAATCTGCTCTTAATTGATCAAACAATCTGCTCTTAATTTTTTAAATTGATAATGTGATCAATGTTGAAATAGCCAAATAGAAGAGAGATTAATTAATAAATTCATAGTTTTATACATTATCAATGTGTGAATGAACAGAATATTAGTGTATTAGTATGACACAATTTACAATATAACAATATCATCAAATATCAAACAAGTCTAAATACTAAAATTAAATAGCAGAGACTCAGTAAAGGCAGAGAGAGAGAGAGAGAGAGAGAGAGGGGATGTACAGAGTGTTGTGCCGCACTTGAAGGAATGAAATGGGTAGAGAATGAGGAGGTGAAGCAACCGTCGATGGAGCCTTCAATTTCGAGTCTTCGAGTTCGACACTTCGACTTCGAATCTGCGTAGTGCGCAGAGAGACAGAGAGATGACTGAGGAGGAGTGAGTCGTCGCTCGATTGACCTCACAGACGCTCAGATGGTGGCGAGAAGAGAAGAGCACAATCGATTTTGGGCTGGAAATGCCCAAAAGGACCAAAAACACCAATTTTATCGCATTTTAATTGACCGGTCCGTTTCTCCAAAATAGCCCGGGTTGAACGGTTTTCTTGAGAACCACCCGGTTCAGTGGGTTCCTGCTAAAATTTTTTGCTTAACCGATCTAATATAGGTACCGACCCGATTTAGGCTTACCGGGTCATTCGGTTCAAACCATTGGTTGGTTATGAAAAAGCCAGACTCAGAACACATCTTAAAGAGGGGAGAATTACAGTGACACCCTCAAACAGTTTGAAACAATTTCAATAGGTACCCAATAATTTTGAGAATTAAACTGGCATCCCATCAAGTTTGATTTTAAATTTTAATAGTATTCGTACGATGACGAACCATTAAAGGTGGTGACAATAGTGAAGATTTCAACATTTCATTTTTTGTCTAAAAAGCATCGTTTTCCTGCTTTAACATCATTAGTAAAAAATAAGAGAAAAAAAAAGGAAAAACTGGTTAATCAATACCAACATCCACACCCCCGCCCCAAACAACCACCTCCATTAATAAAACCCAAATTCCACCCTCCAACAACTGGTTACACTCACTGCTCTATGTTCCATTGCAAACCAAAACAACACAATTCAACACTAAACTAAATATCATTCGTAAGTACCCAAAATTACCATTAACCACCTAAAACTAAACATAGCAAGGTTTTAAAGTGCGTGGTCATATAGACACATGCACACACATACACATTTATTGGTGATGATACTGAGAATAAATTTGTACAGAAAACAAGTTTGCAACACAATAAGGAAACTAATTGACATTAAGAAAAGACTGATAGACATATTACTCAAGAATCCAAATCAGTTTGGGGTTGAACCATCTCAGATATTACCAAACAAGCTCAGTTCACCTAAAACAACTCATCCCATAGTCAAAGAAAGGACAGAAGAAGAATTACACCATCATATCTTATTTGGGAGAGGAATAATCTATCTCCAGAATGTCACGTCATGCCTAGTAAAAATACACTAATGACCAAATATTTTCTCCAATATCTTAACAGACTAGGAGACCACCCCATTTGTGCGCGTTGATTTTCGCACAATAAATGAACGGATAGATCTCTCCTTTGTTGAACTCAAGTTTTCCTGAAAAGTCGTAAATTCCGCAGCAAATGGATGTTGAGAAATGGTGATGAAGAGTGATAAGATTCTTTGAAGACTACCTGGTCACCTTTGGGTTATCGAGTTGGTTCTTGTCACTCAAAAAGAAGGGTTAGAAGAGCACCAGAGTGTTTTTCGACGTGATCCATCTGACGATCAAGTCAATATATGAGAGAGGGTTGGAAAAACACTGTTTTATTGCTTAGGTGAGAATTTTCGTACTTTGCACTTGGGTTTGTGAGAGCTATTTATACCTCCGTAGAGTTAATCATTGCGGACAATTGAGTCCCCCAGAGAAGAGACTCTTCATTGGCCCATTCGGAAGGTAGCAGATGGTGCTCAGTTCTCGAGCAACGAACCTTCATTTTCACGTGATAGAAGCTTATACATTTAATGCTTAGATCCCCGAGCATTTAATGCTCCCTTTTCTGGGATTGCTGAGCAATAAATATGTCTCCTTCCTTTGAGGGATCATTTAATGTTTCCCATTGTGGCTGCGCATGTGTAGTGATATTTTCGTCCATTATCCCCTCCAACTTTGCTCTTTGTACCTCGTGCATCACTGTTATTGGTCACCGACCTGGCTCTTCTGCCACTCTGATTACTTTGGAGAGGGGAATCACTCACTGACAACCAATTCTGCTTCTAAGTCGCAATCACCGCCAAAACATGCTTCGCCGCAGTTGAGGGCTGAACACTGAGGTGACGTGTTAGGTGGAGAGACCCTCGGGGGACTAGAGGTGCCGAGAACATATATCAAACAATGAAACCTTTAGGGGACCTTGGTGCTAAGGACACGTGTCAAATATGAGGTGCTCTGAGGTGTCCCACTCCGAGGACACATATCACCTTAATGAGGGTCCAAGTCTTTATTGTGCCAAGGGCACGGGTCAGTTAAGGAGAGCTTCAGGGTGTCTTACGCCAAAGATACGTGTCGATTCATGGAGACTCCACCTTCATCATGCCGAGGCCACATGTCGTCCTCTATCAATTTGTGGAAGCGTCCCAGCAACTGCCTCCAGCCCTTGATCATTGTACGACAAGGGTGACGTGGTAGAGGAAGATGAAAGGGCTTGACCTCTCCTCCCTCGTGCAACTGTTTTCCCAGCCTTGGGTCCTATGCCCCATTTAATGCACCTCTTTTGTTCTTTATGCATAATGATGAGTCTTGGCTTTTATTTAAACTGAGCCATCGTCTTCATCTTCTACTTTTGCCAACCCTGCAACTCAAAGAGTCCTTCACTAGAGTTCCAATAGAGAAGCCTCAGTTCATATGAAAACCATCAATCCCTTAGAATCCACCAGAGAAAAAAGCCACTAGTAACTATTCTTCTTTCTCTCTTAGTAGTCCTTCTTTGTCATTTTGTTGCTCAGTCTTCCTCAACCCACTCTTAGGTTCCCATCTTTAGGAATCCAAACTTCGAATCTCTTTTCTTCTATTCCATGGTGAGACGTCATTGGAATATAAACACTGGGGTTGATAAGGTTGGTCCCTTAAGGCTGAGGAAATATACAGTCACAGGTTACCAACAAATCACCAATTTTAAGACCCACTACTCCATTCCACCCAGGTTTACTGTAAATGACTTCGTGTCTAGTCTCCACAGTGCCACCGTCGGCACTAAGGAGGCCATGCCTTTCTATACCAAAACCATCATGGAGGGAGGTGTTGATTTTCCCTCCACCCATTCTTCTTCACTTCCTGTCCCAATTTCGTCTTTTCTTGGTCACTTTAAATGAGCATCTGCAATTGAACCTCAGCTTGGAGGAGATCTTGTTCTGCTATGCTTTGGTGAAAGTGATGTCTCAGTAGAAGTTCTATCTCAATGCCTGAGACCCCACCATGTATCTTGTGACCCACCTTCTAGACTTCGATAAGGGGTACAAAGATAACCTGCTCGTCTTTGATGACCAATGGGAGTGGGAAGTTGACCCCAAGTACGCTGACTTGTGGTACCCTATGCAATGGCAGACTATGAGTACATCGAATCTTCTCTCTCTTTTCGACTTTATGGTCCCTTGGCGTTTCTATTCTTACTTTTAATGTTGATCTTTTTGTTTTCTATAGGAATCTCTAATGCTGAGTGTTCTATCTTCCTCAGAATTAAGTTAACCTCGGTGACATTATCACAACCTGGGGATACGTGGGCAACGGATTTGGTTAAGTTGCGCACGTGTTGCTAGACTACACTCTGGGATACAAAAACTTCTCTCCGAGAAAAATGGTTAGCACTAACTGGAGAAAACTTATAAGAAGACCCCAACAGAGCCACTGAGGCCGAGGTAGAAGCTGTCGAAGGCACAGTTGCAGACGTCGAAGAAGTAAGGGATCCATCCATCACCATCCACGTTGAGGAAAGCACCCCGAGCATGGACACTTGGCCAGACTTCGACATTCTTCAGAACCTTGAAGACGAAGATGCCTTGGATATCGCCATGTCCAACCCACCTTACCTTTCTCTCAATCTGATTATGGAGAGAGCTACACTCGTCCCCCGAATGGGGACGTGGCTTGGGCTCTAGGACCAATCCTTCCAACAAGGAACATACTCGTCCTTCTAGGATGTCGATCTCAAGGGCATTGCCTCTAACACCCCCAATCACCAATGATCGAGCTGACCCATCACTGCCAGGACACAGTCGAGTCCATAATAGGGATCCTTAAATCGAGGATAGGAGAATAAAGAAAAGTCATAATGGTGCTGGCAGAGGCAAGGGCGCTCTCACCCTGACACCGACTCCAACTCCAATATCGACCTCAACGTCGACGCCAATGCCAATCCCCACTATTCTAGAGTGGCACGGTAGGGGGCCAAGATCGTGACAACTAGTTGATCCTAGTGACCGACTCCATCGTTGCCTCTCTTCACACTACCTACACCGTGAGTGAGGCAATCCATTTTGATGTCGACATGGCTATCCATCGGGGTTGTGGGAGCAATCACTTGTTTCACTCCCTTATCCAGAATTCATTGGTGGTAAGATTCCAACACTTGTGAATTCTTCTTCCTTTTGATTTAGCATCTTCCTTGGTGTAACTTTTCTTTCCTTTGTCTTCTAGGCAGCTCAACAAGTGTCTGTCATTGTTGAGTGCTTCCATGCCCACCGAGACAAGGTCCAAGAGTATGAAAAACTCCAAGCTGACCTTGAGAAAGCCTGAGGAGCTCTCACCACGACCAAGAAAGAGGTGGCAGTCCGAGATAAGACCCTGTTTACTCAAGGTGTAAAGATTGTCGAGCTTTTCAAAGAGAGATAGGCTGCCAAGGGAGAAGTTGACAAGGTAAAGGCTTTGTTTGTTGATGCTTAGAAGAGAATTACAGAGGCGATGAAGCAAGCGTCTCTGGTGGAGGTGAGGGTAGCCGAGTCAGAGCAGTTTTGTACCTCCCTCACCCAAGAGTTGGACAAGTTGGGGTAAGAGATCATCAACTAATGCACTGATAACATTTTGGTGGTCTTTGAAGAGACTAAGAGGGAACACTTCAAGATTGGGTGGGATGAGGCACATTAGGCTATCGGGGACCTGCCGAGTCTTCACTTTTCAAGGAGCATGAGTACATTCTTTCCAAGGAAATGGTGGGAGCTGCGATCAAGGTTGCGGCTAAAAATGATGGGATGCCTCAAGTTCCAAACTTAGCTCTAATAGTCGAGACTGCGGTCCCAACTCCGCCGCCTCGGGACAACATTGTTCTTTTCTCTGCCAACTCTGCTCCAGCTCTTACCTTTGCCGACGTTTTGCCTACCCCTCAGGGTGATGCTTCTACTGTTCACGCTGACATAGTGCCTTCTTCTCGCAGTGCCGAATCTTTCTTTGTCAATATTGATGAGCTTTTTGGTGACATTGGAGGTGGCAT